CTAGAACTCATGGCCTTCCTCATTCACCTCTGAGTGCTGGGATTACAGTAGCCTTCTTTTTAAACAATACTAGCATAAAATGAAGACGAAATGAAAGACTGAAAGAAACGAAAATATGTACTTTTAAAGTATTTTATTTTATTTTTATGTGTCCAAGTGTATTGCCTGCATGTGTGTAAGTGCACCTATGTCATGAAATGCTAGTGGCGATCAGAAGAGGGCATTGGATTCCCCTGGAACTGGAGCTAAGGGCAGTTGTTAACCACCATGTGGTTGCTGAGAATCGAACCTGGGTCCTTTGCAAGAGCAGCCAGTGCACTTAACCACTGAGTAATCTCTCCAGCCCCAGTATGTACCTTTTTACTTATAAGGAAATTATGTATTCATGTAACATCAGAATTGGGTGCTATACTCATTACACCAATGTATCAGTTACTTTTCTGTTGCTGTAATAAGATGCCATGATTCATAGCAACTTACAGACAAAGAGTTTATTTTGGCTTACAGTTCCAAAAGACTAAGAGGTCATCATGGTTGGGACACGACAGCAAGGCACAACAGCCTGAACAGGAAGCAGAGAGCTCAGATTTCCATCCACGCATAGAAAACAGAGAGAGGAAACTGGAAGTAGGAAGAGGCTATGAACCTCAAAACCTGCCCTAAAGGTTCAGTGATCCTCCCTAGACAGCATCACCAACTGGGGGCCGAGTGTTCAAATACCCGAGCCTGTGGGGGACATGTCTTATCCAAACCACCACAGTAAATGTCAACAGAAAACTGTGTGCAAGATGCTGTTGGCATCGCTAGAGCCTGCAGCTCCATCTTGGTTTCCTGCGGTACCAAGACCCCAAAGAAGTGCATGGGCAACTTAGGAGAACAAACGGAATCCAACTAATCAAGACCTTAAATGTTACTAGTCACGGGGTGGAGATAGAGTGACACCAATAGATGCTGTTGGGTAGCTCTAGAATGTGGGGCATTCTGCAGGACAAGTGGCCTGGATCCCCAACCAATTGACGTCTTGGGAAGAAAAGTGGTCATCAATCAATGTCCTGGGTGGCTAGACTGTAGAATTAAGATTGCTGAGCAATCACTTAGGGACTTTGTTTGGGTCTTGAATTATCTGCCCATTGTCAGAGAATACTTGAAGTAATTTGGATGAAGACTGCATGGTACTCTTTAGAATCATGGTAAGGGATCAAAATTCTCTACTCTCTTGGGTTCTGGGCTGATCTTGACATTTATGATCGATGCAAGAGCCAGTGTGCTGGTGTATACCTGTACCGTCAGCACTTGGGCAAAAGAGGCTGGAGTTTGAGGTCAGTCTGGGCTATAAAGAGGCCAGATTCAGCAGGGTTTGCATGCAGTATGAGTTGTTTTTAGCCCAGAGTGGCCTCAAACTAAAAACAAAAAGTAAACAAGTACACTGGCCTAAGATGAGGTAACAAGAAAATATAAACATTTAGTGTAAGTTTCACGTGGCTGAGACCCCTTACCACGTAGGGCCATGAAGACCCAAGCAGGTGAGAGTTGAACATGTCCACTGAATCAGAAACAATGGCGAGCTTAGGAGGAGCAGCTCAGTTATGCTGGGAAGCTAAAGACAAAGGTGAGCTGCTCTAACAGGGCCTGTTTGTATGGGAGTCTCCCAGTCTCTGCCTTCCGTCTTCGGGGCCTGTTGCCTTCCTTCTGGGGTTGGGAGGATAAGAATTCTACTTCATGCTTTTAACATTTAGCTCATAGGTTCAGTCATTGTGTACCTGATGTTATGTACTGAAGTGTCTTTAAGGTAGTACTCTGCTATTTTGAAACAACTGTTCAGGCAAAGCATTCATAGATGAATAGCTATCTGTTTCTCTAACTATATATGATATGGATCTCTCTTTCTCTCCTTAACACGTAAAGATATATGTTGAGGTGGTTCAAACATACATGGTAGGGAAGACCCAAGAAGAACGCTGAAAATTGGTAAAATGGAAGCATAGTGACAAGGGAGCCACACTGTATTTCCTGCTTTTAAATGCTGAGGATCTCTATAATAGTTCCCTTAAAACTCCTACATTGTCACATCAGCATCAGCCACAGAAAATATTTCCTCAGAGTGCGGGTGGAGGAAGAATCCTCCTGTGTTGCTGGGCTACGCTTCTGGAAACCAGTTGGACAGGTGTTCCAAGAAGCTTAAAAATGTTGCTAATGGGCTTGGAGGGGTGGTCCATCATATGGAGTGCATACTGCTCTTCCAGAGGACCCGAGTTCAGTTCCCAGCACCCACATCAGGTGACTCACAACTGCCTGTAACTCCAGCTCGAGGGAAGTCCAATGCTTCTGGTCTCTGCAGGCATCTGCACGCACACACACACACACACATTAAAAGTGATAAAAATCTTTTTATTTGTTGCTAATATTCTACCCAGGAATCACTTTTGTGGGAATATATAAAAGACAGTCGTTATGACCGTCAAAAGTTCTGTACAAAGATGCTTACTATGGAGCTATTTTTAAAAATTTATTTACTTATTTGTTTTTATTTATTCTTTGAAAATTTCATACATGTACACACTGTATGTTGGTCACATCCACCCCTCACTTCCCCCTCCAGTTTCCTGCAGGACCCCCTGTCACTTCTTCCTCCCAACTCCATGCCTTCCTGTTGGGGAACCCCAACAGCAGGGGCTTCCTGCCTGACTTACCTGGAAAGTTCCGCCAAGCACGGATGCTTGGCCTCATTTGAAACATGGCCTTTGGCATAATTATCTGCAGGTTTTTTCTATATGATAATTAGTCATTGCCCTATAGTCGGATGATAGGCTCCTCCTACCACATGTAAATAACGCATACTATGAGCACCTATCAGCTGAAGCTTTGGCTGCCGCCTCCACACTGTATTTTCCCTGGCCCCACTGAATAAACAGAGCTGTCTCACTGAACCTGCCTCCCCGGAAGGGCTTTCTTCATCAGTGCTCACTGGCCATCCTGACCCCATTCATCGCTTCTGCTCCCTTTGTCCTTGTGGATCGGTGGCCAACAACCCACGAGGGGAGGGAGAAACCCCACACCTTCCTTATTTGTTTGCTTGCTTGCTTATTTAATGTTTATTTACTCCCTGAGTTCAGTTAGTACTGCCATATGTACATGGGCATGGGATCCTTCATTGGGCTTGGGGAACCTACCAGTGTCCGTGTTCCTAAAGAAAAGTGACTCTACCTCCTCCAGCAGCCACCAACTTCCAGTAGCTCCTCAGCTAGGGTAGGACCTTAGGAACCCGTCTTCCCTCCATACTGGAATTTCATTATAATAATTATTAATTGAATTTTTGCAAATGTAATACAATATATTTTATCATTCCTTCCCTATCTGCAGCCCCTCCCCCTTACTGTTTGAGATGCACAGCAGTAAAGAATGCGTAACTAAATGCTGATAGGCCACACGATGACATATTTTACAAGCATTATAAAAGATGCTTCTGTAGCTTTCAGATGCCTAGTACGATGTTAACTGAGAAAAAAAGGGTAAAATTGTACACACATCATGTATATGACACACATTTGTGGGAAAGATACACACTGGGAGAAAATATAACAAAATGCCATCAATGACTTTGGTCGAGCGGTGGAGCTACAGGGAATGAAGTCTTTCTATTTGTCTTTATTTTCCATATTTTTATATTTTTTATTCTTTAAAAATGTTTTGTTATTTTAATTTTTTATGTCTGAGTGTATTCCATCAGGTGTGTAAAGTGCACCCGTGTCATGCAATGCCTGTGGCGGTCAGAAGAGGGCATCGAATCCCCCAGGACTAGAGTTGGCATCGTTCTTAGCCATCAAGTGGGTGCTGGGAATTCAACCTGGGTCCTCTGCAAGAGTGGCCAGGGCTCTTAACTATGAGCCATCTCTCCAGCTCCATGTTTAACAGATTTTAAAAAAATCATCTACATAAATTAATATTTTCTGTGCATCTTTGTATAACTTCTACAGAGGCATGCTCAGCGTACCTTGAAACTCACCTAGTAATGGGCCCGATCTCTGTGTTACTGTGCATGTGTCTTTGGCACACCACTGACAGTTGGTAGAAACCCTGTGAACCTATAAAGACATTTGTAAATATTTCTCAGGCAGATGACAAATTTTTAGTCAGTTTGAGATTTATAGAAAGATAGAGGTGATGACAGTTTCTATATGCCCTAACCCTAAGTTCCCCTATCGCTAGCATATTAGTGTGGTGCATCTGTTACTGTTGATGAACCAGACATTAATTTGTTATTTAACTGAAGTCTATGCTCTATTGAGATTAACTCAGTTTTTAATCTGATGTTCTGCTCTAAGATCTCATCTAGGAGATGGTGTTATATTTGGTTGTTGTGTCTGTTCATTACTTTTTAATTGGATAGAAAGTAAATTTTATTTTAAAGTCTTCCAAATATGGGCCACTGAGGTGGCTCAGGGGTATCTGTCACCAAGCTTGGCAGCCAGAGTTCATATTCAGGGATCTGCTTGGTGGAAGGAGGGAGCTGACAGCAGGCTGTGCTTTGACCCCCTGCGTGAGCTGTGGCACACATACACACGCATATACACACAGTAAAATATAAAATCCTCCAAATGCCTTCTGCGCCTTGCTCCCTTGGTCATTTTCTTGTTGACTTATTCCATGATTTGATAAAATTCCCGCTCCCTTGTTCCTTTCATAGTACCTTACGCGTCTACTAAGTAACCTGCTAATTTAGCGACTGACCTGTACTAACTGCATGGGGCAGGTGTTTGGTGCCTTTACCATCACTGCTTCCACATATCTGTCAAGAAGCATCTTGAAGGAGTAACGAGCCTGTGGGGGTCATTCCACATTCAAACCATGAAAGAGCAGAAGAGAGGGAGACTAGGGAGAGAAGGACGGGAGGGGAAGAAGGCCGTACTGACCAATGCCTTAAAGCCCAAGAATTTTGAGGAAATCTTGGTTTCTCTTGTCTTTTGGTATAGTGGATTTCCTTTGACTTCTGTGTTTCCCAGGTTGGAGATTACAACCCTGAACCGGGCAGATACAGACCTGGAGGCTTGTCGAAACCAAATTAGTAAGGACATCATTGCCATTCTGATAAAGAATCTGAGCAGTGGTGGCCACCTCTCCCCACAAGCAGAGAGGAGGATGAGTGCTACCTTCAAGAAGCAGTTTCTGCTGCTAGAAAAGGAAATACAAGAGGAGTGTGATCGGAAGATGCTGGCATTGACAGCTGAGTGTGACCTGGAAGTAAGGAAGAAGACGGAAGACCAGTACCAGAGGGAGATGGCGGCGATGGAGGAGGCAGAGGAGCTGCTGAAGCACGCTAGTGAGAGGGTGAGGTGGCTCTGGGGCCAGACACGTGCCCATTCTTCCTTGCGTCTCTTTAGTTATCTAGACATTAACCAATCCACCCATCCACCCACCCACCCATCCACCCACCCTCCATCAACTCACCCACCCACCCATCCACCCACCCTCCATCCACCCACTCATCCACTCACCCATCCATCCACCTCTCCATCCACTCACCCACCCACCCATCCATCCACCCATCCATCTATCCATTCAACCATCCATCTATTCATCCACCCATCAATCAACCCATCCACCCACCACCCATCCATCAATTCATCTACCATCCACTTACTCATCCACCCACCGATCTGTCTGTCCATCCATTCACCCACCCACCCATCTTTTCATCTGTGCATCCATATATTTACCCATTCATCCACAGACCCTTGCATCAGTCTAACCCATCCACACACTCACCCATCCATCCACCCACCCATCCATTCATCCATCATCCATCCGTCTACCACCATTCATCCATCCACCCATCTACTCATCCACTCATCTATCCACAGACCCTTGTACCCATCTACCCACCCACCTATCCATGCACCTATATTCATCAACCCACATATCTAGGTATTCATCTACAGATTCAACGAAATAGCTACTCATGCCTTCCTTCCTTCCTTCCTTCCTTCCTCCCTCCCTCCCTCCCTCCCCCGCTTCCTTCCTTTTTTCTTTCCTTTTCTACTTGTCTGTCCATCTGTGTATGCATCTACACATTCACCCATTTATCCACAGACTCTTGCATCCATCTATCCACAGACCTTGCGTCCATCTACCCATGTACCTACCTCCCTATTCATCCATCACATCCATTTTCTGTCCACTCATCTACCCATCCATCCAATCTGACCATCCGTCCATGATTCATTTCACTGGATTTTTTAATTAAAATATTTTATTATTTTTATTTTATATGTATGAATGTATTGCTTTCATGTGTGTGAGTGCACCTGTGTTGTTCAATACCCAAGGAGGTCAGAAGAGGGCATTGGATCCCTTGGAACTGGAGTTACGGATTGTTGTTAGCCATGGTGTGGGTACTGGGAATCAAACCCAGGTCCTCTGCAAGAGCAACCAGTGCCCTTAACCACTGGTCAACCATCTCTGCAGCCTCTCATTTCACTAGGATTTACCAGTAACTCACTGCCTCTCTGCTATGCTAGGCACTGTAGATACAGGGTTTAATTCAACTTATCTCAGTTAAGAAGTTTGTGTTCTAATGAAGCATCCTCACATTTGAATAAAATGAGACACCAGGCAGCCATGCTATAATACAGAACTGTTCATGGTGCCATCAGAGGTCATGGGGAGAGCAGAATGGCTTCCTCTGCTGAGGGTAGAGTTGGTTGTGATGACAGAGTCTTTTTTGGACTGTCATTTGCTGAATCACAATTCTGTCCTGCACAGGCCCGCAGGCAGGTAAGCCTGGATTCACAGTTGTTGTGTGACTTTTCCGGTGGAGACCTGAACAAATGCCTATTCATGCCAGACAGGGCACCAACAACAGATCAAGGAAGTGCTTCACCCAGATGTAGTTCAGTGAACTAGGGAGTTTATTGGGGTTAGTTTATATGGGAGACTCACAGACAACTGCATCACTGAGAAGCCCACCCCAGCATGGGTGATGACTCCTGCAAACTGCACCCTTGAGTTTCCTGCGCAACTTGCAGGCAGTTCCATGGAAGAGCCCCCTCTCTCATCTGTTATTGCTTATGTAGCCTTGGGGAGGAGTCTTATGAATCTTGGAAGTGTCACGAGCTTCCTGAGTCCTCTAAGTTTCTCCACCTTGGAAGTTTTTGTTTACTCCTTGAGTGTTCTGAGCCCCTCCTCCTTCCCGGAGGGAGTATTAATTTGGAGGAAAGCACTACACTGCATGGTTTTCCTGGTTCTGCTCCTGGAGCCCTTAGCTGGCCTAAGCCCACTGGACTAAGCGCCCACTGGCAGTGCCTTTCAGGGTGCTTGACTAAGCGCTGGAGGACAGAATCAGCCCCCAGGCCTTAGATGGCACTCAGAGTCACTCAGCCTTCCTAGGCCAGACTGGGGCTGGCAGGGAGATGCTCTTGTTCTTCCCAAAGAGGCACCAGTTGCCAACTGAAAGAAGTGGTCCCCCAGGAGTACCAGAGCAAGTCTTCTTTGTCTTCCCTCTGAGAGAGATGGTTGTTCAGACGCTGTGACCTGTGCCCGCATGTCCTGGTCTGAGCATCCACTGTCTTCAGGTGGCCCAACAGCTTAGAGAAGGCTCCTGACCATCACCCCAGGCCTTGCTTGCCAGCTAAACACAGGATCCAGGGACATGAATGAATAGCTCTCAGAGGGCAGTTCAGGGTCACTTGGGCTTCGGTTCAGATGCAGCTGCAGGACAGAACAGGGCAAAGGTCCCTGTTCTCCACCTGCTCCCTTGTACCTGGGGCCCACCTTGCTTCAGTGCCTTCTTGTTTTAGGGTAGAACTCGTGGCCTGTGCGGTTGATGGATAGTTCCCTGTGGCTGCCAGAACCAGTTGGCACTAATCTGATGTCTAGAAACAAGGAGAATTTATTCTTTCATGGTTCTGGAGGCTGGGAGACCAAATCAAGGTGTCAACAGGGCCATGCTTCCTGGCATCTAGCAAGGGGCCTTCCTTGTTTGGTGGCCCTCCATGATCCTCAGTTTGTACTAAAGTCACTTTAGCCTCTGCTCCATCTTCTCCTGGGCTCTTCCTAGGACCCTGCTGTCTCCTTTTCTGTCTCCCATAAGGACATTTGTCATTGGACTCAGACCCTAGGATGTTCCCATAGGGCCCTTAACTTAGCTGCACCTGCAAAGACCCTTAAGAAGCCAGAGTCACAGCTTCGCAGGATGACATACATGCATTTGGGGATGAGCATCGTTCTGCCCAGTCCAGCCTCCCTGGTGACCCTCTTCTCTCAGGCTTTCTCCATCACTGCCAGTCAGCCCACACCTCCCCAGTCGAGGCTCTTAGGAAGAATGCTTTGAACCTGGTACACAGGGATTTCACCTCAAGGTTGTCTCATCTAAATTTGGTCTATACTTTTTCCCAGTAAAAGCCATATAAGTCAGCCTGGGCTACAACGTGAGTTCCAGGCCAGCTTGGGCTACATAGTAAAACCCAAACCAGAACTAGAACCAAACAAAACAAAATAGAATAAAATAGTAAAGTAAAATAAAAACAAACCAGCAGCTTTCACAAACTAGCCTGGCCTGTTTTTATATAGCCCAGAAGTTCAGAATGCTCTTTGCACTTTACATGAGTTGCAAAAAGCCCAGCAAACCCCCCAAATCTTACATAGCCTGTGCAGTATGAATTGTTCATCTTTCCACAGAGAACTTTGCTACCCTAGCCAAAAAGCCTAGAATAGAAAAAAATTCCTGTAGAAACGACAGTGGAGAGCTGTTTGCTTAGCACTGATTGAGCCCCTACTGTATGCATTCATTGAGTGCCTTGATTGCATGCCTGCTGTCTGCCTCACCTGGAGACACAGTGGAACTCAGCCCTCTCTCAGCCCCTCTCTATGTTCTGCCAACCATCTGTGCGTATCTGTATCTTATAGGATTGATTGCTGTTGGTGTAATTATATCTTTTGCTTGTCACTTTATATCACATCATAATTTTTAAAAATTTCATTGAACACTATGAAAGAATGCAAAGTGTTGCAAAGCTCAGTCTTGTTATAGCTGGGTGTTGTTCTAAGTACACGGCGGCCACCCCCTCATTAAACTGCCACCCCAGGACAGTGAGGCAGGAATTGGGAGGAGCTCACCATGATGTGGAATGGACACCTGTCTGGGGACACACAGGTGGCACCATGGCTCATGCCAGACAGGTGCCCCCTAACCACTGGGCTGTTCTACCACCCTGTGCAGTTCATGACACCTCCCCTTGCTGTGTGGCCTGTGTACCAATGCAGTTGGCCTGCATAGTATTTCCAGGGCTTCAGTACCATTGCTGGGGGGTCCTGTGTTTGTAGTGGAGCCTGGAAGATGGACGTCGGGGTTGCCCATGTTCCTGCCCCTTCTTGAGCCCGTGCCCTCTCTGCTCTGGCTTCCTGAACCTGCCTGTGGCAGTGGGAACAGGCTCATGCTCTGAAGCTCAGTTCACCCTGTCCCGAGCAAGTGATCTTACGTGAACCAGTCTGCTTCCAAAATAGCATCTGAGCTTCAGAAGCTGCTCAAACCAGTTCTTTTCCAGTAGTGTCAGTCCCTCCATCTTAGACAGACACCAGAGCCTTACAGGGTCTGCCCTGTGTGGCCGTCACCTTTGAGTAATATGCAGGGAGATATTTTGGATATTACTCCCAGAAATCTTAGCTTAGGGTAGTAAAGTTTAGGGGGTCCCCAGACAGGGGTCCAGTCATAGGTGGAGAGATAAAATCTTCTCATAGTTAAATGCCCTGGTGATCCCTTATGGCTTTCGGAGAGGCCCTGGGACAAGCCTTGAGTAGCTCACATTGGGCTGAGGCTTCCATGGGCTTGGGTGTCACCTGGTCTTCCAGAAGGTGTGTGGCTCAGACTCTGGGGTCTCCTTTCTACCTCTTGAATAATGGAAGTGGTGCTTTCTCATCGGCCTGCCTCTGAGGGCCAAGTGAGGAGCAAGTCAACCCGGATGGGGAACCTTGGTCATTGGCACAGCTAGAGAGGAGGTGGCTCTGGTGGCCGCAGCTGGGTGACCCGCTGAGCATCAAGGTGCAGTTAGAGAGAAGGTGCTCTTGTGGCCGTTGCACAGCCACATGCCCCCCCCATACCAAGGCACGCATCAGGAGGCACTGTGGTCGATGCCGCACAAGTCTTTGAGTGGCCATAGACCACAGGAATGGGCTGTACATCCCCAAATGCTGAAGAAGGAATTTTGAATGCTCCTACCACAAAGAGCTGATTCATGTTGGAGGGGGCATGCTGGGTTGACCCTGGCTCAATATTACCCAGTGTATAACACACTGAGACTTCACAAGGCAATCCACGAATATGTAAAATGTTTCTGTTTTCATGAGTTGGTTTAAAACTAAAATATAAATTTTTTACAAGGAGAGAAACAAAGCTCTTCAAGCAGTGCTTGGTAGTGTCAACCCTGTGTGGATGTAGTCCCAGTTTCCTTTTGTGTTGGTTAATTTCCTGTTGCTGTGATAAAATACCCAGACAGAATGGAAGTTAGAGAAGACAGGGTTTGTTTTGGTTTGTAGTTCCAGAGGGGCTAGAGTCCATCATGGGGGGAAAGGTGTGGCAGTCAGGAAGCAGAGAGATTACATTTCACCCACACAGAGGGGAGAGAAAGAGAGATGGGGGGGGCGCCCTTGCTACAAGCCCTCGAACCTTCCCCCACTGACATACTTCCTCCAGCCAGGCTACACCTCCAAAAGGTTTCATAACCTCTCTGAACAGTGCCAGAAGACTAAGTGTTCAAACACTTGCGCCTATGGAGGGTGTTTCATATTCAAACCATGACACCTCCTTTTTTTCCTGTTGCCACAATAAAAATGCTCTGACAAAGCAACTTAGGGGAGGACGTGTATATTTTGGCTCACAGTTCCAGATTACAGTTCATCATTGTGGGGAATTGAGGCAGCAGGAACTTGAAGCAGCTGGTCCCAGCACATCCACAGTCAAGAGCAGAGAGGAGGGGCTGGAGAGATGGCTCAGTGGTTAAGAGCACTAGTTCTTCTTGTAGAAGACCCAGGTTCAAATCCCAGCACCCACATGGCAGCTAATAACTGTTTATAACTCTAGTTCCAGAGGCTCTGACACCCTCTTCTGTCCTCCTTGGGCATTGCATGACACGGGTGCACTTACATACATTGCAGGCATAACACTTATACATGTAAAAAAAGGAGCAAAGAAGAATACATTAATATGTGCGTGTTAGTGCCCGGCTCACCTTCTCCACTTACGCAGTTTAGGATCCAAAGTCAGGGAGTAGTGTGACCACTTTTAGGCTGCATGTTCCCACATCCGATAATATAATCAAGACCTTCCCCAACAGACAGACATGCCCACAGGCCAACCAGACCTGGAAGATACCTCATTGAGACTCTTTCCAGGGGATGCTAGATTGTGTCAAGTTGATGCTCATAGTTTAAGGAAACCTGGGACGTAGAACATATGATGAAATATTTGCATTGGGCAGTGGGGAGAGTGAGGCCCAAGAAAGAAGAGCCTCGTAGCTCAGCTCCCTGAGGCCTCAAAGCAGCACAGCCAGCCCCACCTCCTCCTCACCTGCTAGAACAGCACCCCAGACAGTGGTATTAGCACAGGAAGCAGTACAGGGCCCAACTACAGGTGGGCTGTCACACAAGAGCAGAGTTTTCTCTTCTGCGCCCAGGATGGGAGGCAGGGTCTTCATTCAAGACTTCCCAACTCTCTCTTAAGTGTCTGAAAGAGAACGATCCCTTCTGTATAAGAAGTCTTACATTAAGTCTCCGATGGACTTATTTTTATATAAACCTGCCAGTCTTGCTAAATTGAGCACAAGGAGCTGAGGAAGCCATGATTTCTCTGTGTGCGATGTCACCTTGTGGATGGTGTTGAGTGAAGGGCCCAGCCGTGGCTCCGGGACAGCTTGAAGCTGACCTGTGATTGGCTGACGTACCCTGCTGACCTTGATTCCTCTTGTGAAAAGCCTTTTTCATTGGAAAGTTCACAGGGACTTGGCCATGAGTGCTGGCCGTTTTAGTATTATTTTAAAGTGCACATTTGGCGGCAATATATAAAAGAGAAAACTATATTAAAAACAATGTAGATTTTTCCAGGTATAGTGGCACACGCCCGTATCTTAGGACATGGGGAATGGAGGCAGGCGGCTCATGCAAGAGTTTAGTCAGCCTCAGCTATATAGTGAGTTCAAGGCCATCTTAGACTATGTGGGACCCTGTCTCAAAACAAAATAGAACAAACCCCAGTAGATAAGGAATTGCTTTTGAGGATTAGGTGGATCTCTGTCCATGATCCCACAGTGGCCCCCGTGGTCAGCCCTGTGGGCGGGGCTTGCCCTCCCCCTCTGCCCCAGCCCCCTGCTACTCATTAGTGCCCCTCTCATGGACTGCTTCATTCATTCCTTACAACACCCCCTCCCCTATACACACCTGCATGACTTGCCTGGGATGTGCATCCTGCTTTGAACCCTCGTCTGGGCCACAGGAAGTCTGAATATGAGATGGGAGGGGCATCCCATCCCAGTTGATTTTAGGGTGTGTTTCATAGGAGGCTACATTGTTACCTTGCTCTTTATGCTGTAGCAGGGAAATAGGGCAGAACAAGGACAGAAAATTTTGCTTTAGGATGTGTATAAGCCCTGAATGTCTGTGCATTTTGTCCTGGCTTCGAGAAACAAAATGGATTTAACCTCTTTCCCTCATCCTTCTTAATCAAAATAAATTGAGGTTTGGAGCGCGTCAAATCCAGAGATGTCACAGAGGTAGTCTGCTTCGAGGCTGAACCGGCCTAACTGGTACTGCTTTCTCCCCATGGCTGAATGCCGTTGAGTTTGGGGTCCTGCTTGCTCTTGCTTGCTGGGGGAATTGCATTCTTTGATTTAGGTCAAGTCACTTGTGAATGCCGTTTCTGTACAATAGAGAGACTGAAAGTCTAATCCGATGGTTTTTATAAAAGTGACTTTTTTTTTAAAAGGCCAGGTTGTTCTTTGGTGGGTCTTGATGTTGGGTCAGACCCTGGCTACAGGTGCAGACCAAAGCCTATGGCTGCCACTGTGTCGGTCCACCAGGCTTTGTTGTGATGGGCTTGAGGGCTGGGGTGTCATATGTTACCTGTCAGTCTTCTTTGGTGGCCCTGGGCAAATGATGCTTCTCTCTCTGGCTCAGTAGAAAGAGCTGGGAAGATAGAAACAGGCAGCGATGAGTAGGGAGTGGACAGGAGGGCAGACAGGTCTCTGCTGGGGAAAACGGAGGGGTGGTAGACCCAGCCCAGGTGTGGGGAACAGAGACTGCAGGTGGGAACAGAGCACACCAACTTAGCTTGAAGGAACTCAGGCCCTGACCCTTTGCCCACATCCCCCTCCCAGACCCCAGGAAGCTTTTGGGCAGCTGTGCTCACACCTCATGCACACGTGTACCTGGTCCTGCTGACGTGGTGTGCTGTCTCCTCTGTGGTCTCAGAACATGGACTTCAAAGTTTTGCTTTACCCACTGCCTAAACTCTGAGCAGCTGGTGTGGAACTTGAAAAAGGGTCCTAAACTTCTCTCACCTTGTGGTTGTGACCTTGTGAATCAGGGATTCATATTCAATGACTGTGTAAAGAGTCACTCATGGTCAGTCGCTTAAAGTGGCCACCACCCAGAATTCTCCAGCTTCTGTGGGCAAGAGTCCTAACGGGGCTCAGCAGGGTCTTTGCTCAGGGTGCCACGGGCCTGCAACTGTGGTCTTGGCTGAGCTGCCTTCCCTGAACCTTAGGGTCCCGGCCCGCGCTCATTCCCGCTGTGGGCAGAATTTCCTTCCTTGTATTTGTAGGACTGACTGAGATCAACACCTTCTGGAAATTTCCCTTGGCCATAAATAGTTCAGAGCCAGAAAGAGAATCGGGTTGATCTTCAGCAGTACCCCATCCTTCCTTAAGGGCTCTCACTTGATTAAGCCAGGTGACCCTTCCCCCCAACCCAGATTAACCCAAAGCCAACAAAGGAGGGATCTGATTGCATCTTCAAGACCCTGGGGCTGGGGGATGACTCAGTGGGTAAAGTGCCTACTGTACAGATGAGACAGCCAGAGTTTGGTTCTCCAGTGCCTATGTAAAAGTGGGCACGATGGCATTCATCTGTAGCCCCAGCGCTGGGAGGGAAGACAGGCGGGTCCCTGGGGCTCACTGGCCAGCCTAGAGGAAACAGCAAACTCCAGGCTCAGTGAGAGACCTTATCTCAATACGTAAGGTGGAGAACGACAGAGGACAACACCGACGTTGAGTTTGAGCCTCCTCCTGTACACGCAGACATCTACACCTGCTGGCACGCAGGCACACACTTCCACCTTTGCCTGAAAGGTGATCTCAAGAGTGACCATCCCAGCGTATCAATTCAGACTGACACCCACACAAGGCGGGGTGAGTCATCTGACATATACTGGGGCAGGGAACCACGGAGTCCTGTGATCGCACCACCTGCCCACAAGAAGCAAAGAGCAGCTTGCTCTCGGTGGAAGCCCTGTCCAGATGGTGGGGTTCAGTCATCCCAGACCTCAGCTGGGGTGTTCCTTCCTGCTTTCTCCATCTTCTCTGAGAGCTTAGCTCAAGCCTGAGTGCTGGCGGTTTCCCCTCAGCGGGGTTAAAAGCGGAAGACGATGGACCGCCTCCCGAGTCCGACCATGCAGCCCGCGGGTGTGTGCGGGTTTCCATTTTCTGCAGATGCTTTTTGAGCAATCTGATTTGCAAATTTGCACCTACTGAACTTTTTGCTTTACAGCTAGCTATTCTGGGAGAACATTCAGAAAACAGGGAATGATGGGTTGGAACACTGTCTCCCAGGGCTCATTACTGTCAGCTTGGGTCTGTGTGTGTGTGTGTGTGCGTGTGTGTGTCCTCTATGTAAGCGGTTTCTGGTGTACATGCCTGTGTGCATTGTGTCATGCATGAACACATTTGTGTGGCTGTGTGTGCACCATGTGCAAACACATATACAAGTGTCTGCCTGTGGATCAATTACTGTTTGTATACACACATGCATGCACCCAGTACAGATGTGTATGTCTGTGTGAAAGTGTACATATGCACATACATAGCCATGTGTGGTTCACATGTGGGCACATATGCATATACACTGTGTCCATGCATGACATGTATATGCAGTGCAATGTGTGCATGCATCCTATGCTTTGAGCATGCTTATGTGTCCATTGCATGTGCGTATTATGCACATGCATGTGTGCACACATGGGGGTATATGTGTATGATCTCTCACAAGGCCCTCTTCTCTTGGTAGTCTGCCGCAGAGTGCAGCAGCCTTCTGAGGACACTCCACAGCCTGGAGCAGAAGGACTTGCAGAGGTCCCTCGCCCTGCACCAAGAGGAGGACTTTGCCCGGGCTCACAGGCAGCTGGCAGTTTTCCAGAGAAATGAATTGCAGAGCATCTTTTTTACCCAGATACAGAGTGCTGTTGTCAAAGGGGACCTGAAGCTGGAGGCGGCTAAAATGCTGCTGCAGGAATATTCTAAAGCACAGGTAATGCCTCTGGGCAGGCTCACCTTGGTAGAAAGGGGTTTCCTGAATGTCCAAGTGACTCTCTTCTCCCATAGCTGAGTCCTGTCTCTCCTTCTGTTCTGTGTGCTGGTAAGCCTCTGTTCCTTCTTCCTCTTGATAAGGGAGTAAGTTTCTGATATGCCGGGCAGATGTGGTTTGCAACACAAGCCTGACAGCGTGCTCCAGGTGACCTGGCAGTTAACAACAAGCTCCTGTTTTGCCTTAAATATTGATGTTTTGATATGAATAGAATAGTGGAGAAATGCCTGGGTCACTCCTTAGGCTGCCTCCCCTAGTCTGTAAGTCTGGCTCTGTTTGTGAAACAGCAAAGGTGCCATTGAACGATGTTGGGGGATGTGTGACACCAGCTGGGCTCCTCAAGCTCATAGGGGCTGATGGAGCCCCTGCTCCTTGGCCCAGCAGTGTTCTCTGAATGTGGAACCATGCTCCGTAAGTGGTGTGCGTTTCCAATGGAGCATCACTCGATTACTTCAGTTTTATCTGTGCAGGTGGAAATGTTCCGGGAAGGCTGCCTTGCTGGTGATTTTCCCCACTGGCTTTACCAAAGAATGAGCTGTGTTCAACCTGGGTGAGCCAAGGCATGTGGCTGGCTTCTGTTCCTACCCTGACCAGAACAGGGATGGGAAGTGGTACAGAAGGGCAGATCGTGTCCACACCCATGTGTGTGAACAGGTCCTAGCAAGGAGGCCTTGGACTCAGCTTTGCCTTCTAATCCTTGGTAAAGGCAGCAGAGAATGGCCTGCCAACCCCTAGCTCCAGATTTGGGGTCCTGGCAGAGGCCAAGTGGGCAGGGATGAGATGGGGTGGGGCATCCAGGAGGGAGAAGTTATTACCCCGGACCTGTTAGCAGGCTAAGACTCCCCTACACCACCTCCCTATTTGGAGCTACTGCTGTACCAGTAGGTATTTGGGTGGCTGCTCTGATCCCACAATATCACAGGGATGCAAACAGGTCTTTGGTCACTCCATTCCCATGATGAAAAACACTGATGCCTGGTGCCAGATGCTGAGGAAGAGTGCCCGCCTTTGTTAAAAGCAGGTGATGAAAGGGGCCCGCCACAGGGGCATCAGGACCACACAGTCTGAGCGTTGGCACCAGTTCTTAGCTTCCCTCTGGCTCTGTGGAGAAAGGATTGATGTTGCAGCCAGCAGTCCTAGCCTGCCGACTCTGGTGCCTGGAACATCCAAGGAAAGGCCTCATCGTTTCACACTGCCTGGTCATACAGCACCTTGCTGGACTGTACCGGTTCCCATCCATTGAAACGTGGACAGGCCATAGGTCACATGGAAGGGAGACTGTCTGGGCATCACGGGTTTCTCACTGGGTAGCCTGTGTGTGGACAGTGTTTCCCCAGGGAGAAGAGACACCAGCTGCTCAGGCGATGTGACTGAGCAAACCAGTATTGTTACCGTTCTGCCAGTGGGTTTTAGGGATAGTCTCCCATGGCAATAGAGTACAACCTCAGCTGGCTGGCTTCAGATCCCCACTTGGCAGCTTCCAGTGTGATACAGACTGGATTTATTAATCTGTGAAGTGGGAATAATAATTTTCCCCTGATTAAAAGTGGGAGACTTGGGGTACTCTCAGCCTGGGCTTACCCAGATGACACACAGGCATGAGCTGGTGACTGGTGACTGTTACTATGAGCACCTGCATTTTGATGGGTTTTTCTCACATTGCTGTTCTTTGCACCTGCTCTGTCTGTCCTGTTGACTCAAGCCACCCCTAAGGACTGAGTTGGGGACTGATTCACCCCAGAGCACTAGTACCTGTCCTGGGGTGCAGTGCTGTGGGAATCCCCCCACCAGCTGGGATAAACACAGTGGGTGCAGGGTGAATGGGGGAGCAGGTAACATGTGTGTCCTGTGCTTGTACAAGCAGGTTGCTCTGGGGGCCATAACATCTGGTCTCCAGGGCCCTTCCCAGAGCCTCTTCTTCTTTGCACATAATTTCTCCATAAGCCTTCGTTACAATGCCAGTTCTACAGATTTTCTTCTGAAAGGAAGTCATATTTTAAATGTCTGCAGAGGCATTCCTTGACTTTCTAATGAGGCATCTTCACATTTTGTACAACAGGAGAATGTTGAAGAGCTGATGGACTTCTTCCAGGCCACCAAGCGATACTATCTCAGCAAGAGGTTCGGCCACAGGGAGTACCTGGTTCAGACCCTGCAGGCCACAGAGACCCGCGTGCAAGGGCTGCTGAGTACTGCAGCTGCTCAGCTGACAAGCCTCATCCAAAAACACGAGAGGTAACTGCATTACCTGCAAGTGAGACCGACAGGCTGCAGTCTGGCCTCCCAGCATCCCCAGCTTCCCCGCCCAAGACTAATCCTTTCCTCTTACTTGATGCCTGGTCACTGTCACTTGGTGACTACAATTCTTTCATTATAAAAATTACCGTTTGAAAACACACATGGTAGTCAAGACAAGGAGCTGGTGACGCCCACATCCCCACCTTTCAACTTTGCCAGTTTTAACTCATGGCCTGTCCTGGGTGCAGCTGTATGTTCCTGTATGTTTTTGATTGGGGAACAAATTCTCAGCCACATTTTCTGGACGAATCAATGAAAGAGGCTGACACTGAACTTTTGATGGGGCAGCCCACTTCCCTTCCCAGGTTGAGCCCTGACAAGTCTAGCATTGGCCTCTGAAATTTAGTGTAAATGACACAGAAGCTTGCCTTAGGCTCAAGTGGTTTTTCTCAGCATCCCAGGGGAACCATGCACAGCCAGATGAATGGCATCAGACAGAATCTCAGAAGTGCCATCTTTTCTCTTGATGGTTCAGCTATGTTTTGAGGCAGCTTCTTTGTAAGCAGTGAGATGTGCAGCCTCGGTCCTGAGACGCTCTGAAACAACGGGCATGTCAGGGAGGTTGGCCTTCTGATGAGGGTGGTTTTTCTCAGCATCCCAGGGGAACCATGCACAGCCACATGAATGGCACCAGACAGAATCTCAGAAGTGCCATCTTTTCTCTTGATGGTTCAGCTATGTTTTGAGGCAGCTTCTTTGTAAGCAGTGAGATGTGCAGTCTCGGTCCTGAGACGCTCTGAAACAACGGGCATGTCAGGGAGGTTGGCCTCCTGATGAGGCATGGTTTTATGAACTGGTTTTATGCCTGGGGTCATTTTTCAGGACATTGAATCTTCTTGTTCAATAAGGATGCCGTAAGGTGTAGATCATGCGGGCATCTCAAAATGCTAATGGATTCATCTCTGCGGTCTGCTTGGCATTCCTAATTAATTCACACTTAAGTGATGGGAAGGCATCTCACCTCACTCCAAAGAAATGGCAGCTGCTTAGCTGCTCTGAGAAATTTCCAGGGAAGGCTATCTTACCTTATATTTGAATCCAGTTTTAAGGGCTGGCACAGCCTGCCTTCCTCCCTCCCTCCTTCCCCCTCCCTCCCTCCCTCCCCCTCTTTCTTCCTTCCTTCCTCTTTTCCTTTGTCTTTCTTTCTCACTCTATCTCTTCCCTTCCTAACTCTCTTCTTCCTCTCTCTCTCTTTCTCTCTCTCTTTCTTCTTTTACAGTTCAGTAACACTGTACCCCAGGAAGACATAATTTCTTGCAATGATTATTCCCATGTAGTCTAAAAGCTTTTTCTAATTCCTCTTCCTCCACACTGTTATGGCAGTTATTTTGTGTCTAAGTCCCCTGGCACTGTCCATGTACCATCTTACTTTAAGATTCCCATTTATTTATTTATTTATTCATTTATTTATTTAGGAGTGTGTGTGTGTACACGTGTGTGTGTGTGTACACGTATGCATGTGTATATAAGTAAGTCAGAGGACAACCTGTGGGAGCCAGTTCTATTCTTTCACCTTTACATGAATTCCAGGGACTGAAACTCAGATCATCAGGCTTACACAGAAAACACCTTTACCTGCTGAGTCATCTCAACAGCCCAGGGCTAGCTTTAAATGTTGCTATATCTCATTTCCCCAACCACAATACGCTATTCAGGAATATTTTTGTCTTTGAATCTCTACAGTTTTCAACAGTGATCTGAGTTAGAATATAAGCCCCTTCGAAGGAGCTTCGTGGGGTTTCCTTTCAAAGGTAACTCCCAGAACTCCGCACTGACACAGGACGTACATTCCATAAATAGTTACTGCATACAAGAATAATCATATCAATACTAGTTGCTCAAGAGATGTTTGTTAGGTTCAATAATAGTTTACTAATCTAACATTAGCTATACCCATGTTTCTAACAGTTGTATGATGTTCACTAGAAATTCAAGACAAATCTATAACTTTGTAGCTTAACATTGCCCTGGGATACATGAAGACTGAGGTCCCAGGAAAACTAGTGGTAAATGTTAGTCCAAGTCAGAAGACCACAGAACCCCAGGAGGTGACAGTGTAAATCCCAGTCCATCGGCAGAAAAGATACGGCTGGTCCACAGTCAGCGATGAGGTTGAAGGATGGGGCCAAGCCCTCCTTCCAGTCTTTTTGCTCCGCTGGGGACTTAACATGTTGGTTAATGCCCACATTTGGGAGATGCCTGCTTTTCGGAGCCAGCTGAGTCTCTTTTCTGCTGCTGTCACAGAATGCCAGGGGCTGGGTACAATATAAACCATAGGGGTTTATTTGATGCATGGTCTGGAGCCTGAAAAGGCCAAGCCTGAGGGCTGCTTGGCTGAGGACCCCCTGCCGTGTCAGCTAGCAGAAGGCATTGTGTGATGTGAGAGCTTGGAGGGGGCAAGGGTGAGGCCCCCCCTTTTCGCACCTAACCCACTGCTGCCATAATAACACTAGTTAATTTTCTTAAATTAAATTTTAAGTTAGCCTCTAAAACAAGGGTTTCATTATGGCATTTCCACACATACATACCATTACACTTGGTTCCTGTTCACCCCCCCATCCTCTCCTGTCCTCCCCCTCCACTCTTGCTGGTCTCCTTCCTTCTCTCTAACAGTCCCCTTTACTGAACCCCATTGTTTAAGACTATCTCATCTGCAGTTAAAAGTCAAAAGGAGCTCTCTCAACTGAGGAGTTTCCTCCATTGGACTGGCCTATGGCTATGTCTGTGGGGCATTTTCCTCATTGTTGAGTGATGTGGGAGGGCTCAGCCCACTTTGGGTGCTGCCAATCCTGGGCAGATGGTCTTGTGTTGTATAAGAAAGCAGGCTGAACACAGGCCAGGGGAGCAACACAGCGATCTGCATTCCTCCATGGTTTGTGCTCAAGTTTCCTGCCCTGAGTTCCTGCCTTGGCTCTCCAAATGCTCTTAGGTATAGGTCTATCCCTTGGCATCTGGTAAACCTACCAGGCTTCATATTTCTATAGAAAATCGACTCCCCCTCTCTCAGCAGCTATCAATTGACAATAGATCCTCAG